AACCAATATTTATTTATTTATTTAAATATACCAACCAATATTTATTTATTTATAAAATATATATTTATTTATATATATATATATCGGCATTATATAGCTAAAATAAGAATTTTTGAAATAGAATAGGGAAAGGATCAATAATTTATTTAGTCGTCAATTAAAAAAGTATCATTGGGCTTGAGTTATTTTAATAGACGTAGTTTGATTGCTGAAATAAAAGAACTGAGAGAACCACTATAAAATTCCAATTCGTTGTATTGAGAGTTGACAAGCAGGACGATGTGGTTGTGGGGGCCGTTAAATCATAGTTCTTGGTAGTTTTTGTAGTTCTTAGCAGACGATTGTTTCTTAACGAGAAAACCCCCGGCGCGAATTTTAAACAGCTGTTGATGTCAGGTGCATCAATCAGGCCATTCGCGACTTAAAAAAAAAAAGAGATCAGCTTTGCTTGCAGGTTAGTTTTAAATTGAAATGGTCGACATCTACGTTTATTGAGCTATGGCCTCTCTGGAGTATCGGTATCCCAAGCTCTTTCAAAGTTTCATTTGTAATTTTTCGATACGTTTTATTGCGGCGTCGGTGAAAGGAGACCAGATTACGGTGCCGTATTCCAAAACTGAAAGTACTAGAGATAATAAAATGCGTAGTAGCGAGTAGTGAGTTATAAAACCTGGACCAGTGAAAGCCTGGAAAGTGATCTTATCGATATTCTTGTTGAATGTCAGTTTGTTATCTATGATGATGTTCAAGTCCTTTACGTGCTCAACTTCGTTTATTCTCTTTAGGTTATAGTTTGCTGGAGGTCGATAGTGTGATCGTGAGTATTATACGGCTACGCACTTATTGATGTTCAAATCTAGTTTGTTTTTGTGGCACTAGGTCGATATCACTCTGGAGATCATGTGTGTCTTGTTCACTAGTTATCGTTCTGAAAATCTTCTAATCGTCTGCATAAAGCAAGAGAGTTGGGCTCAAATGTTATCATTGAGACACTCCTGAGGTCACATTGTGCTTGGTAGATAGATGCCCATCAACTTTAACTTTAAATTGTCTTCCAATTAAATATGAGTGGATACAACTCAGTGCATTACCTTGAATGTCGTATCTGCTTAGTTTATTTGGACTATACTTTGGTCCCTCCTACCGAATAGACGGTGTGAACTGCCTGACCGTTATTTAGAGCTTCAAGTAGGTAATTTACATAAATAAACAAGTTGGATGTAATGAACCTCCCACCGACGAAACCGTGCTGTTTGCTGGGGATAAAATCCTTTAAAAATGCAATGAGTTGAGGTAAAACTATATTTTCAAAGAGCTTAGTCAGAGCAGATTATATACAAGTTGGCCTATAGCTAGAGACATCAGATCTTAGGCCATCCTTGTAAATAGGACAGCCATAAGATTTCGAAGCAGTTGGGAGTTTACCATTTTGGAGTGAAATACTAAATAAGTGTGTGAGATGTTCACTGAGGCTGGTAGCACAATTTTTGAGGAAGATATTTGGCCGGACCAGTGCCCTTTTTCGTATTCAGTTCATTGTTTTATGTAGACGTCGTTGACGCTAACCTCAAACATTTATTGCCGAGCACTGGAGAGAAAAATATCAGTTGCATGCATTTGTATTATCTTATCGCCAAAAATTTGATATTCTAAAAATGAACAAATTGATACCAAAATCACAATTTTCTTATATTATATATGGTATAGAAAAAACCTGATTAAACTGATAAATATGGATATTTTATTAATTTTATATATTTTAATTTTGCACTGGGTGTACTGTTTTTCAACATTCCCGTTTTATATTTTCTATATTAGATTTTAAGCTGAAACCAAAGTAGATATGCGAATTACTTCTTCGATCTTCGATTTATGGGCATATACAAATGTACTTACCTTCTTTGAAATTTGGTATTGTTTTCAAGTAAGCAAGGGTGTTTTAAAATACTTATAGTAAATCAAGTTAAATTTCTAATTTTATTATACTACCTAAATATAAAACGTTTATCATTATTTACTACTTACCGATATCTATGTACTTATATACCCAAAAATGTATAATACAAAATCGCGTCTAGGGTATTTATTTCCAATTTAATCATTTTAACCATTACACACCCAAATTTAAAGATTTCAAGTGCCATGGACAAAACACATTATTATTATTTTGTTTTTGTTTTTTCACTACACTTATGTTTACGAATTTGATTTTGAAATCTTTATTAGATGTTGTAACGGCAGTTTTATCCATAAAATAATAAAATGTTAAAAGTTTAACTATGTGCTTAGAAACTAATGAAAATGTATACATAGACGAATATGTATTATTCAATTTTTTTTTTTAATTGTTTGTTTTTGTTGTATTTTGCCCTTTTTGGATGTTGGCTTTCACTTTACTTCGTGTTGCGGTTTAAATAAATTTTTTATTTTATGTTTGTATTTAATTAGCTTTTGCATTATCCGGTTTTTAGCTATTCTTCTTCTTTTATAATTTTCAGATGTATAAAGAATTAAAATATGTATACTTTATTATGTACAATTCGCTTAGGACTGCTCATCTACGAGCAGCATTATTTGTTGAGTTGTTGTCTGAGCAGGATTCCTTGTACATTCCACTTGATGAGCGTTCCAATCTTTTCGTTGACAGAATTCAGAGCAATATGGAGTCTTTCGACAAAGCGAGCACTCGGCTAAAGCTTCTCTGTTGCAATTAGCACACTAAATTATAAAATGTTTGCGTTTAGTAAAATAGTCAACTTAAATATAATTATAAAATAAAACGTAAAAAAATTATGAAAATTCAATATTCCTAATTTCATTTACTCATATTGCACTTTCAAAATCACTTTTCGCTACTCTAAAAAAGCTTTTTTATAACATATATTTTTAAGGAATTGAACACACTTTATTTAAATATATTTAAAAAAATGTAAGATACTATTCTAAATAAAAATTAGCATGATTTCTTATGCAAATTGACAATTAATACAAATATATCATTTTAGTATGAGCAAAAGTTTTCGAAAACTGGCCGTCCAAGATTTTCCTAACCCTTTATAATTAATAAGTTAAGACCTTTACAAAGATTCCTAATTATACTAGATTGGAAGAACGGGTCATTTGATATAGAACCAAAATTTTTATTTGTGACAACATTTAAGCTGGTTTAAGCGAAAACGACTGAATAAGAAATTAAAAAAATTAAAAAAAAAAATTGTCACACCAATTTTACGAATTTATTTAAGTTATCGCCAGACGGAACATGAAAGTGTATTTTTACTAAGAAAATTTTACCTTCATGTGTGATTCGGAAAACTCTTTTTTTGGTAATTAATAGCGAAAAGTAAACTTTCATATTTTGGTTTCAACGATGGAATGAATATCTATTTTTCAAATTAATGCTCGACATCGCCACATTGCTGCTATTTACCTTCCTAACCGTTCCCACGACAGTCGGGTGTACATAACCGGAATGGACCCTCATTTAATCGGGCAGAATTCTGCCAATACAACAAAAACAATCTACCTAACCGTTAAAAAAAAACCATAATGAGACACAGTCTAAACGGAGGAAAAGTACTATTACATAATTGGTACACAGGCAACTTTTCAAAGTAGAAATCTACTTTTGCTTATGCAATCGCTCTTCCAAAATTTTCAGATTAACAATCATATCGGACCTTTAAATATTGACATTGTAATTCTGGAAATATGTCATAATAGATAAATATATAGTCAGGATCAGAGTATATAAGTTGACGTCTTTTATAAAATATATCTCCTGTGTATATATTTATGTTGTAATAGTTAATTACAAATATTACTGAAACTAACAAACCCAACCCATTTTACGTTAATTTGCTTTGTTGTTGGTTGTTATGTTTTGGATTGAGCGTATATAAACATTACTAAATCAAATATAAACAAATATACTAGTGTTACCTTTTTTGCCGAAATTATTTCGTTTCCATGCAAAGAACCAGAAATATTTGGATCTTCAAGGTTTCGCATGGCGGACACTGCTGCATCACGCTCCTTTTGAAGAATTTCGATCTTTCGATCGTATGAATTCTTTAAATCGGTCAGAATACGTTTGAAATCATTTGTGGCCTTCACCATTGTGCAATAGACATTCTCCAGATTTTTCATTGCTTGACTATTATCCAACAAAGCAATTGAACTAGTGTCATTTATATTAACTACGTATGTCTCCCGATCATAGGGATTAATTTGAGTTTGATCAACCAGTTCGGTCGATGTATCAAGGCTGTCATTTAATGTAGGCCAGGGTTCGTCCTTTGATGTGATATTATCTTCAGCAGTTAAGAAGATATTTTCATCAACCACAGTTGCAGTCGGTGGCGGTTCCACGTTATTATTACTGTTGTTTGGGTTGTTATTGCGCTTTCGCTTCGGTACCGCATCAACATCAAGATCGGTTTGGTTTCGCTTCCGACGTTTATAAGGAGTAAATAAACGAACGGGACCAGATGCTATAAAAAATATATATGTATACATAGTATTAGTATATATAAATATATGGTATAATTGCATACAAAGAAGTAATATGATTTATAAGTTTATATATCAAAATCAAACGACGAAGAGAATTAGTGATTGCTTAGTAACAAAAAACCTCATTACTGTGTTGTAATTGTTAATAATCATTCCTTTTATTTTGAAAAGGAACTTATGTAGCTTTGACTAGGTCAAACAAAAACTTATATACAATACATTTTTTTATTGCTGCATTTAATAAAACTATTTGTATATTTCTGTTAAAACAATAAAAATTGTAATGTATACAATCCTATGAAACAAACGCTAAATAACTAGTTGCGAGTTAAATAAAAAAAATGTATAGAAGTATAAATCAATTTTTTTTTATTGATTTATTCAAAACCTATACCCTAAATTTAGTTTTTTTAATTTCTTACTTACCAGCTTCATCATCGCAACAAACGGTGCAGCTGCAGTTTGTTGCGTGTGGTGTCAAAATTCCATCATCTATTAAGGATTGCAAGGATTTTCCACCATATTTAATGGATCTCTTCCAATCTTTACTCGACCCACGTCCACAAACATTTTCGAATTCGCTGGGCGTATACCATTTATCCTTGTATTTGACACAACGTCCACGACCTCCAGATCCCAACTTACTACGGTACAAATCAGCGCTGGTTGTCTTGCAACGAATTGGAAAAACCTCCATATGGGTTGTTTCAGCCCAATTCACTCCTGTCCCTGATCCACAGCCTGAACCAGCACCCTGAGCAGGGTGTTCACTGGTTGCAGTACTATCATGACTGTTATTACTGCCAGATCCGTCGTGATTGATACCCATTCCACCACCTCCGCCTCCGGTCGTTTGCTGGATGACAATTGTCTTCAAATCTCCACCCATACTGCCTACAACAGGGCTGCTCGATATATAACCGTTATCGACGCAAAGCATTTGCTTAAAATGCGGTAATTGATCCGGTGTGATCACATTAAATGATGCTCCTGTGATCATAGAGCCTATTGGTAGGGACACCGGTACCGAGACCACACCTCCACTGCCGCCGCTATTCTCATTAGAGGTCACCATTCGCACTTTAGTATCCAGCTTTTGATTTTTCCAATTGTTAAAACGTATAATTGATAAATGCAGAAGCAAACGAGAAAAAAAGAAAAAATTGTGTACACATCAATTGCGCTGTTGAAGAAGAAGGTTGTACGAAAGGGAAAGGGGTGTAAAAGCTGTGAGCGCGGGAAGGGGCTGCGCGCAAACTTGTGCTCAGATCGCCACGCCGCAAGCCCTAACACCAGATTAATATAATTACCTGGTGACCAGAACTTTCCAAAATCACCTCTTCTTTCACAACATCGCGCGCTTCGTCATTTAGAACACCCAGGTCTTTTACATCTCGTATCCTGCCTAGATGCAGCTCAGCAGAATCGACCTGTTCCATCTTTGCACTATACTTTTTTCACTTAATTTCACTTTTATTTGGTACTTCGCGCTTTTCACACTACTTTCCACCGTATTTTTATAAATTTACGTTAAGTTTAACCAGCAAAGTTTTCAATTCGTTAGTTTTGTAAACAATAAATCACATTTTGCTTATAAATAAAATTTTGTGGAAAATATTAACTGAACATGACATTTCTTGATAACAAAAGGTTTGTTTGATTTGTGACCGCTCAAACAAAAATTGACATTTGGAAGGCGACTTCTTTCAAATCTCTAATTCGTTGATATTGCCATATTTAAAATCAGCAAACTGTTGAATAATAAGTATTGAATTTTGTAGTAATTTTAAAATATTCTATTTTAAAGTTTATAATAACACCATAAATTATTAATTTATATGAACTAATATAAAAATCTTTCAAATTATGTTTAAAAATTACTCATCAAACACTATTGGATTTTTGACAGTTGAAAATAATACTCAAACGATCTGTGCTACCATATCAATTTTCAGACATAAAAAATTCATGCCATGCCATTATTTTTTAATTGTTTAGTTGTAAAATAAGTATAATGTATGGATTTCAACTATTTTAGATAAAGAAATGTGTACTTTAAAGACTATATATCGTTTCCAATTATTCTATAAATTGATCTTATGTTTGTATAGGTATATTCCCTATGTCTATTGTCGTCATCACTTTCAGTACAGATTCAATTTTCTGTTTTCAATTCAGATGATACTTTTTATCAATGATTAATTTCAGTGTTACCAATAAGAAAATGAAAGAAATCAGAAAATAAATAGGTCTTAGTTAAACGTATGTACATTGAGTTGGATAACAAATTTAAAAGACTAGTCCTATATATAAGAACCATACTGTAATAATGGGTAGTCGTTTTTATTCAACACTCGTATATGGTGTAAATTCTATTATTACACCATGACATTTTCAGTTGTACTTTTTTTGTGGGCATTTTCTACAAATTAAAGATTTGTAAATTTTAATTATTAAAAAATGGAATTAGGTAAAAAGTTGTTGGAGCAAGGCTGGTAAATATGCTAAATGTAGAAACTCGAAATTTTTTGTAAATATTTCAAATATAGGCACATAACTGATGAAGGTATTAAAAAAGTTATTGCTGCAGCTTCCAATGGAGATGGTACGGAAGTCATTGATCTCCGAAATCTAATTGCTATCATAATGAATGTAAGGCTTTAATATTTGAAAATAAAATATATGCTTATTGAATAGTGCAACCTTTTGTGTCTGACAGTTGGATTTTCGAGAAATCGCTGGTGGCGCTCTTCCTAGTAAAAGAGACAATAGTATTCCTGGTCCAATTGTTCTCCAAGTGCAAAAAATAAGGAATATATCTGCGCCAAAATCAAACGAGGAATCGAAAACCGCTCCAAGATTTTTACAATTGGAATTGACTGATGGTCAAACAACAATCCATGCCTTAGAACTAGAAGATATTTCGACATTGGACATGAACATACCACCGGGAACAAAAATTTATTTTCGCTCCGAACGACTTAATTTAATGCAAGGTTTTTTAATCTTACGTTCTTCAGAACTACAGGTTTTAGGTGGTAGAGTTGAGGCAATGGTGGAAAAATGGGAGCTGGCACGTACTATGTTAAAATATGCTGAAAGTGGACGTAGAATGAGCGGAGCTAATTGTCCGCCGCCATGGATACCCTTTGGAAGAAAACTAGAAAATTCACTTGCAAATGAGCGTAACTTTAAAAGTTTACAAGGTGCAGGATCAGATGGAAAGGAAATAAAAGAGAACGAGGAGTTTAATACCATGCGTAACGAAGCAATAGCAGAAGCTAGCAAAACTGGCCCAAAAAAGGTATATGTATATTATTTACCATATTGTTTAAAAAAAATAGGAACTCCAAAGGTAAAGTAATAAGGGTACTTTCTTTATCTAACAAATAAAATAAGCAGTATATATGTAGATGCAATGCTACATATGTACTGAATCTTTTAACACAAAGTTGGTTAATTGTTTTCAATTTTTCTAGATCTTTGGTGGGGGCGGGCAACAAATGCTGGATCACAATGTTAAAAAAATACTTGAAAAAGGTTTCAGTGAAGAAGATGCGAAACAGGCCTTGCGTACTACTAATAATAATTTGGAACGTGCTCTATATAACTTAAAACGTCGCGGAGAAATCAAAAAAGTGGAAGAAAATGGAAATGGAAGGGAAAATTTCAAAAATACTCAAGCTAGTTCATTTTTATCAGCACGAGAAATGGGATCTGGAAAACGCGTAGGGCCATTGGCAAAAAAAGAGGCAATTGGGGCGAAACCAGCAGGAAATGTATCCCTTTTTGATTTCTTGACTGATAAATTACCAGTAGATACTGGATCGACTAGTTATCCGGCATATTCAAGATCTACTACGAATATTCCTGACGAGTCGACAAGATCAAATAAATTTGAAAAAATTAAGAAGGAAGCACTCAAACCTAGTAGTACTGAAAAGAAAACAGCTGAAAACATTGTTCACTCTAATTCTAACACATTGCATGGAAGATTTGAAAATACTATGTCTAGCAGTTTTGCCGCTAACCGCTCGACTGGCCCAGTAAATGTACGACAAAGAAGTGATCGTGGTAACACCAATATTAGGGAAGGACGTAGTTTTAATGAAAGGATGAAGAGTACATTGACTTTTAATCCGTTTAAAGATCCTGGAAATGACCGTAATACGGAGACTATTCGTTCTTCCAGTAGTCCCTCCTCAAGTAATAATCCAAATACAAACCAAGGTCGTAATAACCGGGAATCGTATGACCGAGGAAGAATTGCTAATCCTTCAAGTGAAGATTTACCTGAAAGTGGAGCCAGTAATTATGCAAACAAGAGAGGAAACGAAAAACAACAGCAGAGAAATCATGGAGGAGCAGAACATATCAGCGGACACAATGAAAACAGAAGCCGATTTACCAACAAACGTGAAAATAGCAATCAACATCAAAATAATAATACTTATAGTAAAAATAGTAGTACAACTAAAAGCACAGCTACGGTAAATTCAAACGCTAGTAATGCCAATCAAATGAATAAATTAATTGAAGACACTTCCAAACTGAAAATTTCTGCTTCCGGTCGTAGTCACACAACGACCGGTAGCACAACTGGTGAATTTCATTCTAACTTGCAACAATCTGAGAGTGCTTTGCAAAATTTCGGAGCGAGTCAGCCAAATCAAATACAAAGCTCTACACAAGCTAATAATGGTTATTCTTACGACACAAGTAAAATAATTGGTTTTCAAAACAAACAAACAAATGAATTTGCTATGACGTTGTTGAAGAGCCAAGGTTCATCAAAGTCAGTTTTATATGCCCAACTACCACAGCAACCTTCGTCATCTCGTTTACAACCACCGTTTCAAATGAATTCGTGTGTCTCTCCTACAAGTGACTGTTCGGTACCCACCCCACCGATAACATCAACTGTAGCACCAATCCCAAGTCATTTTGGAATGGTACAAGGTGATGGCTGGCACTGGAAAATTGGAGATCTCTGTTTTGCTAAATACTGGGATGATGGACGGGTAAGTTTTGTAATTATCCTCTGACAACATGTTGCACTGAGCACAACAGTTTTGTTAACCCAACGCCTATTTTAAATACCTAATACTTATGTGTATATCAATATGAATGGGATAACGAAACGAATTGAATTCCAATTGTATGTTTTGCCATCCATCCGTGAAAGCGATAACTTGAGTAACATTTGAGATGTTAATGTAACTTTCTGCACATACATCTAGGAACTTTGAGGAAGTTGGTGCTGCAGATGGGCAAAATTGGACCATAGCCACAATCTGAAAATGTTGTTATTTGAAAAACTATAAAGTTCTATAACTAAGCCCAAATAATGCTACAAAACTTAAATTTGGAACAGAAGGAGGTGATAGGGAGAAGTAAATGTTCTTTAAAACATTTTTTAAAAGTGGGTGTAGCATCACTTTCTAATAGGTTTAATGTATATATCTCCAAAAATATTAATTGGTCGAATAATAACCACGCCCACCCCCATACAAAGATTATGTCGAAAACTACTTATAGTCAATAACTTCCATACGAAAGCGATCAGAACGTTAAATTTAATAGTATAGACAGTACACATGTGAATCGATATAAAAATTGGGCAATGGACGTAGCACCACCCACTTGTAGATTAAATTTCATATTTTAAATCCCAAACTCAACTTTATTTTTACACCTATTATATTACAGTTTGATAAATTAAATGAAATCAGTCCAGACCTTCCATATCACAAATATATCCTATACTAGCCCGCAGCTGCGCTCGCATTGAATCCCTTAATATATATAACAATCTTTAACAAAAACAAATAACTAAATATGGTATGTACACGAATCAGGAAATCAGGTTTAAGGGATGCCCAACTTATTCCAGTTTGAGAGCGCCTCAAAATTAGTGTTTTTTATTACATTTCGCATTGTAGCCAGATCAGTCAAAATTAAAATTGTGGGGCATTCAAATTAAAACCCAAAATCTATTAAGATTAAAAATTATTATATATCCGTTTAACACATGGAGAAACTATTTAAATCCTTTTTTGTAATGATTGTGATATATTATATTTAAACAACTGATTTTTGAATATTCAATACTTAATGAAAATATTAAATGTATTAGCTCTTAATTAATAAATGTTTTTTATAATTTTCAATTGAAAATTAATACTACTAAGCATGGCATCACAAAAGATTTCATCACAAAAATTTCAATTTCGCGTGTTCTTTAATTTTCATTGTTTTCCAATTTTTGTTAGTGATCTTCAACAGCGGCTTTGACAGTTGGCTGAGTTCAGGAGGTTTTGACGTTTAGCAATTGCTTTCTCATTTCCAAGGAGAGATGAGTTAGGCATCTCTCTGCCTTTATCCCTGCTATACCGGGATGATAATCTTCGTGGTGGTGTTGGTAACCAGAAAACTCCAATTTTGTCTGTTTTACGCTTTTGGTGCATATTTGAATTGTTACATTTACCATAAATGGCAACTGTACAACAACAAAATCTTAATCTTTTCTATTTAAAATTAGACAAGCTCAATGTTGTGGTTGATCCCTTTTGATAATGAATTGCTGTAGTTGTTGTTGTTGTAGCGGCAAAATTCTGCCGAGTTGACAGTCCTTGGCCGGAATAAATAACTCTTTAGCATCGGTCTAAGGATTTTTGACTGGAACCTCGATGTTAATTGCATAGTTCGAACCGCGTTATGACCGCAATGTATAACAGAGCTTTGTTGTCAAGGCTACGTTAACCTTTTTTTTTATTTTTCTAGGCGTAGGCGTTCTTCGATTAAAGCTAAGTGTTCCTCTAGTATCTTTGACTCGCTGATGGGACATTCATTACGGGATACTAGTTCTGTGTTATTCGCAATAGTGGATGGCAATACATTATTACCTGTTAGAAAATCTGCTCTATATAAGATATATAGAGTTGGGCCTAGCACACTGCCGTAAACAACGCGACAAGTAGCCGGAAATTGTTTATTGAGAGATTGATTACATTTTTTTGGTCCCTTTTAAGGTCGTGACCCCCATTAGCAACCTGGCATGGTGCATGACTTGGAGTTGTTGCCAATGTCTCTCCCTGCCTGCTCTTTCCTCACTACGGAGTAGCTACTTAATGGCCAACCGCGACGAAAGGCTCAGGTCCTACCATTCATATGGAGGCTGCAGTGCGGGCTAGCTCGTCAGCCAGTTCATTCCCGGCTATACCCCTGTGACCAGGCACCCAGATAAGGTGCTCTTGGTTGCGGCTTAATAGGCTGTTCAGCCGTTCTATACATTCCTGCACTTGAAGCGATTTGACCTCATAGGCAGAGATCGCTTTTATTGCCGCCTGACTATCGCTAAGTATGACAATTCTTTCTTTCATTTCGATAGTCGCGTTGAAGGTTTATCTCTTTATAGCATAGACTTCCGCTTGGAATATGCTTGGAAAACTTCCCATGGGAATAGAGAGTTTGGTGCGTGGTCCTGCGACCCCTGCACTAATCCCCCCAACGTTTTCGAGCCTTCGGTGCACCACTTGATTGTACTATCCCTTAGCAGTAGGTCCAGCGTGGAATCATTCCATTTCGCCTTACTGCCATGGGTAACTTTGAACTTCCTAGTGAAGCTTACTACTTTGGTTATGTTGTCCCTTGGGAGAAAGGCTAGTGGCATTTTGGCACTTAGAGCCTTCATCTGTTGGGACGAGATTACTTCCCTCTGCCAAACTCTTCTGCTGTCATTTGAAGCAGGGTCTGTTGAATCACTATGTGTAACGGTGTGAGTTCTAGCATTATTTCCAGTGCTGCCGTCGGACACGTACGCATTGCGCCCGATGCGCAGATGCAGGCAAGCCTTTGCAGCTTTGATAGTTGAAGTCCTACCGAAGTCTGCGATGCTGTAGAAACCCAAGCCACCGCTCCATATTTTATGATTGGTCTTATCATCATGATGTACATCCATCTGATAATCCTCGGGTTGCAGCCCCAGGAATTACCAGCAAGTCTATTGCACACCATGAGCGCTTTCGTAGCTTTGACTAAGGTCAGGTCCACATGCTGCTTTCACCCTAGAGTGAAATCCAGTGTGAGGCCCAAATACTTGACCGTGTTAGCTCCAGCTCCAGCTCCCGGCCGCCAAGGGATAGATTTCTCAGGCCCGGCAGTGACCGTCTGGTAAACGGTATGATTGTAGTTTTAGAGGGGTTGTTGTTTTGATCTACCTGCTCTGTAAGCATGCTGCTTCTCATGTTGCGATGCAGCCTTCAGCATCTTCAATCGTATTTCGTCAATGATATTTTCCATACTCTTAAGTAGGAAGGAAGTTAGACTGATTGGCCTAAAAGATTTCGCCAATGTATAGTCTTTCCTTCCTACCTTTTTTTTAAAGCTGGTTAGCATTTGGCATCAATTAAATTTTTAACATTGGGTTTAGAATTTATTTCTATTGAAAATATTTAGTACAGATATAATGACGGCATTCATTCATTATTCGGCATTATATATACTAAATGGCGAAGTCTCAACCTGAAGCGGTAATTGCATGCCAAGCAGTAAAGAGTAGAACATGGCACATCTATGGTACACCTTTGTTAATTTAAACAAAGCTATCCAAAATCACGGAGACCTTCTTTGGTGCCCTACTCATGCCTACGGACATTACCAGTAATCCCAACATTACACCACTGATAAATTTCCATAAATGGATGGAATGGATGGATCATTTAAAGTCGAATTTTCTGTTGTGAGTTATTTCTACACAACCATCTAATCATTACTTTAGGAAATTGCACAGCACTTAGCTTCATAAACACCCAAAAAATTCGTGACCTAAAATAAAAATCACCATTGGAGATGGCCATTCTATTAGTCATTTAGAAATCAATGCTTTCTCCAGGTCTGAAGATGTAGCCTACATATTATCTAAGCGATCAGCAATCATTTGTATTAGGTGAAAGCTCTAAATTAAGAAGATTTTAACTTCTGTATCTTGAAGCCTTAAGAGCATCCACTTATCCAGTTTTTCAATTTCAATAGTTTAAAATTATTAATATATATAACATAATTATTTAGCCGTACATCATTTTGCATAAATATTTTACTAAACAAACTGCATGAATGTTCAACTATAACTTGGAATTAATGATCGACCTTGCGTACTTACCGTCCGTGTCAAACGAAATTTGTCAAAAGTTATGCACGTAGTGAGAACGTAGAAATCAATTCCTCTCTTTCGTTTTCATTTCAGCAATGTTGACATTGCTCAATTTGTATAGATAGTTTTGCACATATCTAGCTTTGCAGTTATAATTTTTCATAATATTCGACTGTGATTTTGAATTAGAATATTTCAAATATATTAAAGTTTATTTTTTACTACAAAATATCGACACTGCATTGTAAGAGGCCAATCAGCTGACTCGGATATCCCACGTGACGGACGGTAGAAGAGGTTGCATCAGCTTATACGGTATACGGATTTGTGCCGTTAACTAATTGAGGCATAACTGCTAAGAAGTACCATTATCTGTTTTTGGAGCCGTAATCTAATCCCCGCTTGTGTGGTAAGGTTCGGATTCGTTGTCATCGAGTCATCGAAGTTATCTAACGGTAGGCCCAGACCAAACGTGATGTTTTGATATAGGCGGACCATAGGGAGAAGGGTGTTAAATGAGTGGGGTTTGTTGGGCATGCAAATAGCTGATTAGTGTCATGCGGGCACTCATTCCTCGCTGAACATATATTTGGTCGATTCACTGAGAGGAGTCGGTGAAGGTGCTAATGGCTCCACTGTGAATGGCGGTCAGTGCGTGTCTGAAGATAGTTGCGTCCGAAGTCTGGTCGATGTCGTCGCCGTAATCAAGGAAGCACCTCTATTGTTGGAGGCGGCTCCACATCAAGCACACGACTGAAAAGTTGGTTGATGGATGTTCAGAACATGCTTGGAGAGCAGCTCCTTATGTTCCTTAACCGGAAGCTTGCGGGCCAAGTATTCAACCGGAGACATCAAGAGGCATCCTGTGATAGTCCGAAGTGCTGTGTTCTGACTCGTTTGAAGCTTCTTCGTCTGTGTTTCACTACATACTGGACCATATCGGTGCGGCGTAGTGTATGACCGTCCGGTCGATTGTCGTGTATGTTGCCAACAACGTTTCTTTGTCTTTTTCCCATGAACTGCTGCTAGAGACTTGAGGATTTTATGCGGCTCTGTACTTTGGCAGTTATCGCGGTCGTATGAAGAGTGAAGAAGCACAGGCTGTCGACTGTTACACCTAAAATCTTTGGGTTATTGACAGTCGGAATTTTAACGCCAACAATTGTAATGTTAATATCCAGTCTGTACTCCCTCGTTCAGTTCCTGAATATAGTCGCTGTGGATTTAGTGGAAGAGAGTATCAAGCTCCCACAGAAGAAGCGAAAAAGGTCGAAGAGATAGCCGTTACCTTTGCAACACATGCCAGCGATTCCATTGCTCGACGTCAATATCGTGCAATCATCGCTTACGAGTTGATGGAAATTCCCTCTGGTGGTTGAGGGAGTTTCGAAATGTAGAATTTAAGCAGTAACGGGGAGAAGACACAACCCTGCGGAACCCCCTGTTTTATTCTTCTTAAATTGGAGTTTTAGAGAATTATCGGACAATAAGACTTTCCACACATCGGGTATTTAAAGAGTGGCCAGCAACAGGTTGAGGACCTTAGTTAGGTAGCTTACTTCCGTCGAGCCTAAATGGCATTAGCATTTTAATACCATCTAGGCCAATGGACTTGGATGATTTAGCCTTGTTGATGACACCCCGAACTTCCTCATCGGTGAAAGTAAGTGGCTTGCAGTCTCTTGGCATTTTGCGCAACCGTCCGATAGCACATCGTTTGACCTTGACTGTCGAATTCAGTTTCAACGCGATCGTCATGTCTCCTCGGATTTGACAAGGCCTTGACAGTAGTCCAAAGCTTACTCACACCGGCCGGTGGAGAGGTTACAAAACTTCAGGTGCTCTACCCATTTCCAAATGGAGATTCTTTATTCGGGAATCACAGGGATCGGCATAGCCGAAGGAGTCGCGCTCGTTTGCTAAAACAGCTGCTTTTGCTGGGAATTTGGGGCGGAGATCTGCGGTTCTTTCAGTCGGGATGAAACGAGCTGTAACAGCTGCAATAACTTTACGGAATTGACGTTTGCCAACGATAACGTCCGTAGGATTGGATAGTGCCGTGAAGGAGAGCACCTGGTGCGGTTGTTCACATAAATGTTTCTCGATCGAGATAATTATGGGCAGATGGTATGATGCAAGGATTAGCCAGGTTCTGCTATTTATCAGACTACCACTAGTGATGGTAATATTCGATGAGCTGTTACAAGTGCCCATAATTCTGGTGGGTACTTCGTCATTCATTGTGCAGAATATCGAATCATCCATCTGTTTCACCAGCTACATCCCCCTACGATTGTTTGACCGACTGGGGGTCATGCTGCCTATTTGAGCTCCTTTCGATCGTAGAGGTCCTTTGTTGGCCACTCGGCTGGAGTGGCGGCGAAGTGTACGAACTAGGTGCAATTTGTACGGCCGTAGAGGCTAGTGGCAGTAATGCGTTGGCAGCATAGGAGTTACTCAAGACTAGGTTAGATCGCCGAAATTACAGCTCTTGGCCGAATTCAATTCCGGTAACGTAAAACCGGCTATCATGGGAATTGAAGCACCACTAGTCAACCCCATCGGTACAGAGTAGAAATATACCACAAAAGGGTTAAAGTTCGACAATACTTCAATTAAATTTTTTTTAACGGATTGAGTATATATTGATAATACCGAATTTCAAAACTTCAACCAAAATGCAGCTAAATCTGAAAACTGTAATAGCCGCTGAACATTGCATATATCTACAACAACATTAATAAAACCGTCGACCAATATTAAAAAAAATATGAGTTTTTGTATTTATTATATTAATATCTATAAAAACGAAACGCTAAATATGCATTTTAATTTACATTTATCACAATATTTATTTACGTTCATATTGTTAAATTTATATTTTGCAGTATTATGAAGCTGAAGTAACCGCGGTGTCCGAGAAAACATGTGTAGTATTTTTCCTTGGATATGGAAACCACGAGGAAGTTTTAAAAACTGATTGTCTGCCTATAACCGATGGCAACCATTGTCCTGTGAATTATAACAGTTCCTTGCCTTATCAGCAATCACTTCAAGGAAAATCCAATGCAATATCTCCAATTCATTCACCTCTACAAATCCAACAGGGTGCGTATCAACGCGGCGGTGGGGGCACGCCACGTTTTCGAAGTGAGAGGCAAATGTATGTGCCACCACACAAACGTGAAAATTGACAGATGATAAAATATAAACAATAAATGTATTTCAATCGCAACAGCAGCGAATTCAGTATTTATTAAAATGAACACTGTTAAAGAAATATTCACATTAGACTAAAACTATGAATTAAGTATGCCCTTAGAAGACAGGCGAGTTAAATTTCTTCACAAGACCGTTGATAAAAAAAAGAAAATAAAAAAAAAACATATAAACATCAGAATTATGAAATTATGTAAAAATTTTTCAAATATATTAATTAGAACACGTTCAATATTACAATGTATGCATGATTCTCAATTTGATTTTATTACTTTGAATTCACATTTACATAACAATTAGCCTAGATGGCATAAAATACAAAAAAAATAAATTGCATTAGTAGAAGTCAAGGAAAATATTGTTTGTACTTATTAGATCCTTGAATGTTTCGTTGTTACATTAAGAAGGTTTCGTTTGATTAGATCGAAATAAGCAATTAGAGCTACGCCTATTTATATATGCAAAAGCGCTGTATAAGTTAGGGTTCAAATTTGGATATGTGTCAGAGGAATTGGGATAACATATAGCCTGCTATGGTCTAATTAACGAAACTTAGCATATCAGCTCAGCGCAACGGAAACATAAAGCTTAATAGTCTTTACAGACATAGCACATGACAGTTGTAAATTTTTTTTGTGTTTACCGTTATGAAAAATATAAATATAAACATAAGTTATGTAACTGAAGCCTTTATTTTTGATTTGGGTTTTTGTACCACTACCGTGCTTTTAAAAAGTGTAAGCTAGGATTTATTTAAGTGAAAAATCAAATAATAATCAAGTTACGCCATCTCTCGCAAATCGCACGAAAATAATAATACTTTTCAAATTTAAATTTTTTTCATTTGTACTTCTATAATAATGCTATCTTGTCATTGCTACCATTGTATAGGTAGGTTTATACACGGATTACCAACATGTCAATCACGAAAAAGTAGGATATTAGCTGTATGTTATGGTCGAAACATAAAAGTCAAAATTCAACAGACTTTCATGTTCTGTTCTGTTATGCTAAGCAAGGATGACATGATGCGAAACTCTCATTTTCCCAAATTTTTCTGAAATTCTCTTTCCCTGATTATGAAGATTAGGGAATTTTGAACAGCTGATATCAAAAAAGACGGGATTTCAGATGTATATTATGAATACTTTAGGATTTAGGGATGTATATGCGTGATATAGGCCTACTCCTAAAAATAATATCGAAATGCAAGATACCCAAAAGTTATTTTTAAAATACCCAATCTATTTTCTTTCGATAGTGGCATGATTGACAAATGTTATAAAAAATGTAGGTTTTGACAGCTCTCTCTCGAATCAAAGAGTTTCGTATCATGTCCTTCTTGATACTAAGCACAGTAGAAACCTTTTCGTGGTAGCTTTCTGGGGGGTGAATAGCGGCCATATTGGATTTTCAGTGGTAGCAAACATAGTGCTGTATATATTGAGATAGTAAAGACTAGGCAAATTTTACTATTATTATATAATAGATGATTTAAATGTAATAGTATGTCATATTTCGTCCATAATAAATTGTTTTACTAATAATCAAAGTAAAGTGATCAGGAGTTATTCGACTGCGAATTTAATTCGTAATTATACCAGTATCCGAAATAAACGTTAACAATTTTATCATTAGGTTAATAAAATTAGTAATATGCAAATACAAAGAAAAAGAAAAACAATGAAAAAAGTCTAAATTTGAAGGTTATAAATATTAATATATTTATTTTTGTTGTTTTATTAGGATGATCAAACTAGTCGTACTGTTGAATTCATTTCATTTCAGCTGCTTCGCGTATTCGTTAAACTGGTCATTGGATCCTACCTTCTACCACTGGATTGTTAAATCTTAAATTGTAAAAGTCTCAGGTTAACGGCTATATACTTACCTTTGTTTCTAATCCAAATAACTTAACGCTTTAATACTTATTATCCGAATTTACAACTTCTTACTTATATCTTTATTGCTTTTTACACGGCAACACTCTAACTAAAACTGTGTGTGCTGCATAGTCTAGCAGCCCTTATGTAGTAGATTTTTATCAAAACGTCGCCACTAGAACATTCTGGCAACTACGAATTCGCAGTCTAGTTGATTCTGCCCTCAACCTTAGTCTGATCGTCCCGATTAGACATATTTGCGGTACCAAACATAAAGCATTTATGTCTCTCATCTGTTCTTCTATGTTGGTGTTAACTTCCTTAGCCGCCTTTCTCTAATTGGAGTTTCCTCCATCCGCTTTCGAGATACTCAGTTTCTGTTACATCCCTTGCTTAAAGCTGACTCGAGGTTCCATTCATTATCACAACGAAATTCCATTTGAACACCGAATCTCGTTACCCATTCGTTGATGAATACGTCCGCTACTAGTTTGGCCTCTTGATTAAGAATTGTGTATTCTTCTAGCCATTCGGTGAAATAGTCCTTGACCACCAAAACACATTTGTTTTCAAATTGTGTGAAATGGATCATCCGTACTCACGGCAATTCGCTGAAATGGTACACCTGGATTGTACTGTTTCATCTGGCCATGACTCTTGAATCTCAATCCTTTAGCTGCAATACACTCAGCATAATTGGCCGTAACAGATTGACGTCAACCAGTCGAATAAATTAATTTCTCTAAGGTTTTCGTGATTCTCAAGTGCCCTCCACTTTACTTTGGGAATTCTTACCTTCGGAACAACCATAAGCGCTCGAGAGCTTTGCCCATCTTCGCTTTTCCATACTCGATGCAAGAAGCCATACATCAACTTTAAACTGCTCCGCTCTGCCCAATATGCTTTTGCGACTGGCCTTCCTGTAGTTATTTCTCCACTCATTGTACAATTGTTCAACTCCACTTCATGCTTTACAACTTGCAATTCTGGACCTGGTATACACGCTTCGTGCTTTCCCGACTCTGAGGACCCTTGTACTGGTATACACGCTTCCTACTCTTCCGACGGTGAAGACCCCTGTACTGGTATACTCGCTTGCTGCTCTTCCAACTGTAAGTACACTTGTGCTGGAATACAAGCTTCTTTCTCTTCTGCCTGTGAGGACCCTTGTTCTAGTACACGCGATTCCTGCTCTTCCAACTGTGAGAACAACAGTGCTGATATACGCACGTCTAGTAAATTGAAATAAAGAGATTCAGTCTTCCATCAGGAGCACTCAAACCAATCGTTTGATTTCTTCCGTGCGTTGCGCGGAAAATATATTTGTTTAATACTTCCACATACGAGGAAGTTAATTTGCATGCCAAACTAAAAAGACTAATTAAATTATGGAATTTTCAAAATATTATATTATATATAGTCAATTTGGGAATTTAATGATTTTATTTACTTTTTACATAATATACTTTCCTAATACATATTTCGTATTTTAATAATAGAGATTAAATTTATTATAATTTATGTATATGTACATATGTACATCTTTTATCATATTAATCTTATATAATCATATGTAAATCTGCACAAGCGCATTTGAATGTACGGATTCAGAAATTCAAATCATTTATCAATACACTATATGTGCGCGCATTGATTTATATGTACACATATATATATATATATGACATTGTCGAACAAATAATGCATACACAAACCAACATACATACATATGTATATGCGTACACATGTAAATATGTGACCCGCAAAAACTACAAACATTGTTCTACAAAAACAACAATCGTCACAAGTCAATATGTAAGTAAAATAGCCCAATCCCAAATTTATAGTAAATCACACAACAACTACATTTTCATTCATGAGTGCCGGCGTACTTTCAACAAGTAACCTCGCTTCATTCATATACAGACACCCCCACATCTCCCCGAGCATGCTTTTGCCTACAAGCGTCTTTTCGCTACGATGGCAAAAGCTAAAAATCATAAATTGAACAAATTTCTTATGTTCTTTCGAGAAGGGAAAAGTGACAACACCGTAAGACTCACAATACACAGAAAAAACTGGCAACAAGGCTTTTGTCGATTTAAAATACTTTAGAATTTTAAAATATTTTTCCGTGCCTCACAAAAATTTGCGTCAATATGTATGCATATATATATAAACATACATACATACTTACGATGATTTGTAGGCAAAGCTGTTAGAGCGGCAAGGGAAGCGGAGACAATCGGCGGCCGTTCGTTATTTTTTTTCGGCACAGCTCGGATTTTCTACCAACAACATAATGTTGTGACGCTTTGTCGTCGCGTAAACAGTCGTCAATTTTTCGACCTATTGACTCTTTGACATAAAAACAAAAACATGAGCTTCGCCATTGGGCGACCGCAGTGGCGGACCTATGGGGGAATAAATAATAGTTCGGTCATTTTAAAATATTGACGCTACTATCATAAAATCAGACCGCGAAAAATAATTATAATTCAAATTCACAAGAATATACGAAGTAATATAGAATATCTTAAAATTAAATGCAAAGTCGTTTGCGCATTGTAATTATACGAATCTGTAAGCGTACATTTCTTAACATTGAAATTAGCATTATTTTTCTCATTTAACACTCAAAATGCTCAATTCTGTTATTTGCGCTCCGCAGGGGTACAATTCTGGTGAAATCAGAGAACGTATATCATAGAGAAGGTTCAATCAGAGAACTTAAAACAACGAGAAGGTGCAGGTTCGACAGCGAACAATTTGTAGGAATTTATCAAGGAGTTCCCCACACATGCACGAGAAACAAATAATATTTCTCGCTTTTATAACAGCGGTGAATCTGTAAACATACGCTCTCTTAAATAACCAAACGGCGAATATTGAAGAGAATATAATATGTGAGCAAAACTGGGCATATTGATATGCCATTTGAAATATATTCCCTTTTATTGAACTATTATTTATTATTTTTTAAATTATTTTATGTTAATTCATTTTTACTTTATTATGAGAAATATATCAAAATACTTTTAAATTATTACTAATAAAGTATTTTGATATATTTCTTAAAATAATTCATTAATTGTACTTGACACCATTATGGAGTCATAAAAGTACAGAATTGTGTTTTGCCGTCGGTATTTCACATTCATGCTTCAATTTTTCTTTTCAAATGCATGTGTAAACATATGTAACAGGACATACATATATTATGTCGTTTACACATTTGTATGTATTTTTATGTAGATATGTACACTCATTACTTCATGTGAAATCTCCGTTGACACATTTTTTGCTTTTATGTCAAAGAGTCAATCTGTCAAAGAATTGACGCGACGACAAAGCGTCACAACATTGTGTTGTTGGTAGAAAATCCAAGATGTGCCAAACACACTCTTACAAACATACATCGCATATGGGCAAGTGCAAAGATAAGAGGGATTGGAGGAGTGATACTTAACCGA